AAAAGACTCTGAGACTAGCAAAGAGGTCCGACTTAGCCGGCAAAGTTACAGCAACATGGCTTCTCTCAGAATTTCCAATGCTCTCTGACCTGGCATCATGATTGGCGTGAAGGAGGAAACTGAGGCTGGATGCTTGTTAGGGGCTCAGCTGGGAACCAGTTAGGGCCTTGGTATCTGTTCCACAAGGAACCTTACTGCTTCTGCCAGTGGCTACAGGCTAGATCTCTCAGAACCAGAGCTGTTGCAGGCTGCCCCTTTGGGCTCTAGGCTGGCCTGGCCTAGTTCATAGATATGCACCTACCCTGGTCTCCAGTAACCACACATGGCTAGTGCCCCTGGAGAGCCAAGTTAATTTTCATTAGTCTTAATTAATGCATGCCCCTAGGTTGGGTGTTCCAGAGCTGTCTCTGCCAATGTAAAGGGGCTATCTCTCCAAATTCACCTCTAGTCTGGAGGTAGCTCCAGTTTCCACTGAAAGACCTCAATTTCTAAAATTCACAAGGAATAAACTATCTGTGAAGGATGTGACAATAGAGAGGTCCTTGCTTTAATACCATGACACGAGGGGCTTCGGAGATGGCGTTTATACACATAAATGCATAGGTACACACATGTGTATCGGCACCTACACACTCATGAACACACACATGCACAGCAGATGTATGAAAGTGTAGTGGTTAGACCTGGTAGTAAGGGTTAGCATGGCTCAGTGGTGAGCACTTGCCTAGCCTTTGTAAGGCCCTAGGTTCAGTCCCCAGCAGGGCAAAATAATTAGAAGACTAGAAAACACAACGTACAAAAGAAAAAAGCAATTTCAAACACAAAGGTACTGGAGGCTACACTAAATGAAATTAAACATATCCATCAGATAAGAACAGAGCAGCTAAAGCTAATTAGATGCTTCGCGGGGTCCCTTCTCATTGTGTTCAAATTGTGTCTACAAAGAAAACCCTAAGAGAAAGACAAGAGAGACAAGGAGGCAGCAGGGGACATACTTGTGATTCTGAAGGAGATCCTTAAAAAGGCCTCATGATGACACATCCTCAAAAGTGACGAACACTGAACATCAGGAGGCTGAGGCAGGAGGGCCACAAGTTCAAGGCCTGCTGGAGCTGTATAGTGAGCTCCAGTCAAGCATGGGGAATTTAGAGAGATTCTGTCTCAAAATATGAGGGAAGTACTTGTCAGTGGTCCTAAAATCAAGACTGAACTGGGAAGAAAAAAAGGTGAGAATGAAGAAATGGACAAATAACCTGAAAGGTGTGTTATAGCGATGAAACAGAGAGGTGCCTCTAAAGTAAGCAGAAAATGCAGATTACAATGACATAATCTAGCTGGGTGGTAGTGGTGCATGCCTTTAATCCCAGCACTTGGGAGGCAGGTGGATCTCTGTGAGTTCGAGGCCAGCCTGGTCTACAGAGCGAGTTCCAGGACAGCCTCCAAAACAACACAGAGAAACCCTGTCTCGAAAAAACCAAAACCAAAACAAAATAAAAAACAATGATATAATCTATACTCTCTCTAGAGGAAGCAGGACAATACAAAATGGTGTGGGTGGGGAGTAAGCATTCCGATCGAGGGGTGGGAAACAGTACAGCCCCTTTTAAGCATGAACTTGGCAGCTCTGATGCCAAAGGGAGTCTCTACCCAGGAGCCTACAATTCCAATCAGCTGTTACCCTGAGAAGGCACTGGGACAGTCCACACACAGGGCCATGCTTTCAGAGACATGAAGAAGCTGAACAGGCCAAATAACCTTCAGAGGACCAGGCTGGGGTACACCCCATGTCACATACAGGAAAGAAGGTCCATTATCACCAGCAAGCAAGACCTTTGGCATGCAAGAGCTTCAACAGCCGACCTCTGAGAGGTCCTAGGTTGAAATCATCTAGCCCAGGCCACAGCGATGGGAGCCAGGTGAAGTAACAGCAACACATATGGTTGTCCTTGTACCCCGCATATGATGCCAACCTTGCATTCTTAGAGTCTGGAAGGAGGTGTCATCAGCCCCAGCCCTGTTTCACAGATGTGGAAAACACATAGTAGGTCCACAGAGAAAAAGACCTGGATGGGCTTGGGGAGACACTTCAGTCATCAAAAAGCTTGCTGTGCAATTATAGGGACCCGAGTTTGATGTCCAGCACCCATGCAAAGAGTCTATCTATCATCCTGGTGGAGACAGGAGGACTATGGGGCTCACTGGCCAGCCAGCCTAGCTGAATCACTGACTTCCAGGATTAGAGACTCCATCTGAAAAAGTAAGGTGAACAATACAAGAGGACACCTGGGACACCTGACATCAACCCCTCATCCCCACATGCATGTACCATGCATGCAGGATCTCTCTCTCACATGCGCGCACCTGCATACACACACAGATGACACATCCTGAAAAGTAAGGCTTTTGCTGTCCGGTAGGATATATTTGTTTGTTACACACGTAATTAACTAATGAAAGATCGAGAAAGAATCTACAAAGGCCAGAGGTAGCTGGTCAAGGAGATTCCTTCTCTTTGCCTCCTGTACCATACTGCTGGCCTCCACCCATCCACTCTGCTGTAACTCCCATTGCCCCAGCCTGGGCTGAGAGGCAGTACTGGAGCAGGGCAGTGTATAAGAGTAGCAAGGCCAATGTAGGACACATGGACTAACAGGACACACTCACTAGTGACCTGCGGGCTCTGGCTGTGACTTGCACAGTGGTAGGTTGGCTCTTACACGCAGCAGGCTGCAGTAAGGGAAGAGGTTACAGGAACTACCATTGTAGCAAATGTGAGGGATCTAAGACTCAGTTCCTGGAAGCCTCCATGAGGGCCTTTATACCACACCCTCCTCAGCAGGCCCCTCTGTTGTCCCAGTCCAACTGCACTGCTAGGGATGCTCAAAATCATGCTATCCTAGTCTTGGATGAGCAGCAGGGAGCAGTGAGGTGTGGCTCAGATGTGGCTGGCCCCCACTGTGCCCCACTACCCTCCTGTGGCCCTTCTGGGAAACTCCTAGGGTGTATGCTTGTAACCAGTAGGCAGGCTAGTCACATGCTTTCCAGGCCCACAGCCCCCAGGGAGGCCACACCAGGCTGGCGTCTGATGACCCCAGTCCCCAGGGAAGGAAACGTGAAATCTCAGGTTAAACAAGAGCTGCCAAGGTCCCCTCTGAGGGTGTGCTCAGCCCTCCCCACTTCCCATGCTATTTTTGACCCTGCTAAGAATAGTTTACTTTAAATATCTACCTCTTACCATGGCTTGGCTCTCAGGACCGGCCGGCTGCACCTTCCCCGAACCTCTCCAGAGCCGCCACTCAAACGGCCCAGTCCACATTCTGTCAGTGGCAGTCTTTGTTCCTGACATGAACCTGCCTCCAGCTTGTTTCAAGACCTTTGTGCTTCATACTGGCCCTGAACCTGACATCTGAGGCAGAGCCAGCTATGGGACACATGGGTGAAAATGATGGGTGGGGATTTACCACAGAAAAGTCCCCATTCTGCTGTCTGGCGTAGGAACACCTGTCACCTCCACAAATGGCCCTTGGAACGAGCTGATCTCCCAGGATTCAAAGCCGCTCTAAGCATAAACATGGTACAGAATCCTGCTTGGACCTCACAAAGACTGCCTGAAATTCAGCCTCGGTGCGGGTGTGGGCAGAGGCTCACAAGCAGGAAGGAAGGTGAATTTGCTTTTTGCCTACCCTGCCTGGACCCCAGGTTGTGACTACCAAGGAAATGTAGGTCTGTCCTCCATGCATGAAGGGAGAACTCACTTGTTGAAGAGATTCAGCCCAATTCGGTAATGCCTCTTACGGATGACATCATTGCTGAAGGCTGGTGAGTCCCAGCTGTTGCGGGTCTCCTTGTGGTATGTCTGCTTGCTGAGTGTCTGTTCCCGCAGGCTGTCTCGTGATGAGGACTCGGAACTGCAGTTTATGGTGTCGTTGGAGTTGGATGTGCTGTTGATGCTATCATTGTCCCCATCTGAGTAGTCCGACTCAGACTTGCTCTGCCGGTTGGCCGAACCATTGATGGCCAGGTGGCTCTCGAGAGGTCTGGGGGGCCGAGGCCGCAACTCAGGCTCCTCCCGGGGGAGGCCTTTGGGGGGGCCACCGTGGGGGCCGTGCTTGGGACTGCTTTGCTGTCCACCGAGGCTGCGCTCATAGGCACTCTGCCTCTTGAGTGAACTTCGATCTGAGCGGTCACTGAGTTCCACAGAGCTGTCACTGGGCGGCTCAATGGTAAGCAGGGGAAGGTGGTCTACTCGCAGCCGTGGTTCTGGCCGCTCCAGAGATGGCGTGCTTCGGCAGCTTGTGTCTGTGTCAGCCTTGTCCTCCTTGTGGGCCAAGGCCCAGTAGTCCTGGGTTGTACCCCCAGCCCTTAGCCGCAGGTCCGACTCTGTGCTGGAAGGCCGATCCCCAGCCTGTGAGAGTGGTAGAGGTGGTGACAGCTCTTCCTCATCAATGTAGAGGGTAACATCACTATACGAGGCTGTCATCTCATCCAACTTGTGGTGGTCCATGCCATGCAGGCCTGGCTTGGGCTCAGTGTCCCTGGCCCGTGCTGTGTCTGGGGCTGGTACCTCCTCACTGTGTAGACTGCGGCAGTTGAGGGCATCATCGATGGACTCAGCCAGGGACTTCACCTGCCGGGAAAATGCATCCTCCAGTTCTGTGATGGCGTCTGCAAAGTCACTGGAGGGTGCTGGAGACTTGAGGGCTGGGTCGCTAAGGTCTCCACATTCTGATGGCACCAGGGCCCCCAGCTGGGAGCCATCATTGGTCACAGAGACCTGCTTGCCCTCAAAGTAGGAGCTATGCACCTTCTCGGGGCCCTCGAAGGAGAACTGCATCCTCATGTTGGACAGCACGATGCGGCGTGACATGCGGTTCTCCGACATGGAGCTGCGCAGGCGCTCAAAGTTCTTGTTCATTTGGTACTGGCGGAACGCCGTCTGGATGGTGCGGGCTGCATGGCGGGTCACAAGGCGCCCCCCATACTTGCGTTCTAGCATTTCCACCTGGTGGGGTAAGGAGAGGAGAATGTGGGCCCTGTGTGATGGCACAGAGATAGATATCTACCTTTTCTATACTCCATAGGGATGTAACCTGGGATGCTCTCATCACATCTGCAAGGTGCTTAAAACAGCAGCTTGGGGCTGCTGGAGGTTTTCAGTGTCAAACAGAACAAGTAAGTGCTAGGCTAGGGTAACGGTGGTGGCACTCGTGCTGAGAAGCCCAGAACCTCTGGCCATAGAAGCCACGGGCCTGGAAGTTTTCTGAAGATGAACCTACAGAGCTGGGGAACCTGAAGCAGGACCTAGTCAGAGGGCTGCCTTGGCTCTGCCTCTCATTAGCTCTGGATGAGTCTTGGAACCATGAAGCTCCCCATTTCCTTAACTGTGACACAGGGCAGCAGTAGGACCCACTTTCCAAGGCTTTGGTGAGCTCACAGTGATGGAAGGCAGGTGCTTGGCCCAGGCCAGGGACACGCCATTCTTAGGTGGCAGTTGCAGTTGTGAGATCTCTGTCCTCTTTGCTACACAGAAGGCTGAGCTGAGGCCTAGGCAGACTGGCAAGGCTGCCTCTCCCTCTTTGCCCTATGGCTCTGTGAGCTCTGATGGGCACAGTTGTGAGTTGAGAGGGGTGCTGGGCAAGCTCTCAGGCACCTCAGTTCAACATCTCTCAAGAGTGACCCATGGCCTCCTGAAGTCTCAGGACTCACAGTCTGCCCAGCATGAGGGCTGATCCTGGGTGGGTAGGAAACACACTCAGTTATAGTCTGGTCTGCAGGAATCAGCAATCTGTCTCTGGCTGCTGGGGCAGGGCTGTATCTATGTGGCGATGAGGAAAGGGTTCAGGTTTGCAGGATGAAGTGAAACCCTGATTCCACCAGGCCAGCACTATGAGCCTGCATCTCATCATGCATGGCAATCGTACAAGGGAAGCAGAGAATGTGAGAGATTAGAAAGACACACATTCTGAAACAGAATACCAGAGACACTGAGCAAAGTCAGGACTGTGGCCCGAGCCTGGGAGAGACCCCTCTGCACACCATCTCAGGGCTACCAGGAAGCGGCTTCAGGGCCAGCCAGGAGGCTCTGGGGGGTTCTTTCCATGCCATCCAGAGATGACTATGCTGCCACCCCAACAAGCAAAACTACTACTGGCTGAGTGGTCAAAACCCTCAGGGTCAGGAAGGGACCAAAGCTGAGCCTAGGAAGCTTGTTTCCTTCCTTCCTTCCTTCCTTCCTTCCTTCCTTCCTTCCTTCCTTCCTTCCTTCCTTCCTTCCTTCCTTTCATTCCCTGCCTAAGAAGGCCTTGGCCTGGAATCTCTGCCACGGACTTCAGAGATACCAGAGTCACCAAAGCTTACTCCAGGGTCTTCCTTGATGCCTTGAACCTTGGGAACTAGGGTCCATCCTGCTTTCAAAGTTCCCTAAGTCTGTGTGTATTGTGTTGAATTTCTCATTAGGAGGGCCGAAATGGGCTCTGTGGTGAGTCACCAAGAAAGCCCCTCTGCTCCTCCCCTAAGCAGACACTGGTTGGCCCAACCCATTCTCTCTCACTCCTGAATTCACCATGGCTACCCTGCTTTCTGGTCTGGAAGTGACATGAGACCCTACCTATAGATCTTCTGGGACACAGAGGAGGGAAAAGCAACTAACACTTGCTATCCAAGGGATGCCAGGAACTGGACCACACCCTCACACGGTTCTTACCATATTGAGACAAGGGACTCCAGTATCCCTGCTCTCGGATGACATGAGGGAAGCTAAGAGCCAGACTTCACAGTCAGTGGCAGGGAGGCCTGCCCTGGGGCCAGGGCTCACCCTTACAAGCCTCAGTTGCCGAGGATTATCTCAAAGCAGCATGCGTGAGGATCCAGAGGCAATGCCTTCCACAGAGCATACCTGCCATGGCTCAGAGACTTGAGTCATCCCCTGATCCCCATGCAGGCCTCTTACTCTCAGGGATGGGAAAGGAAGGCGTGGAGGGTGGATTTAAGGAGAAGGCATCTGGTTTCCCTTAAGATGGGACTCCCACCTTCCCCTCACAACTCTCATTTTACCTACCCTACTCCCACTTTTGCCTTGCCTGCCAGGAAGCTCCGGCAACATGGAACACTGCATGGCTGCTAATGTTAACTCCTCTTGCCTCTCTTAATCTCTTCACTGCCACCTTTTCTGTCTCTCACACACACCAAGGCTGCTCTTGTCCCAAAGCCTTGGCACATATGGTAAGCTCTTCCCCAAATGCCCAGTTTTCGGGCCGGCTACTGTCTTCTGATACAGCCAATACTCAGAATCCCTCTACTTCTTCCTCCAGAACTAAGACCCCCCACCCCAGGGTCTGTGTCACTTCCTGCAGTGAAATGTCTTAACTGCTGACTTGCTTGTCCATCCACTGTCCAGGAATGTCACTCAGGTGCAGCAGCCTCATCTTGCAGGCCGTCCCTATCCCATTATCTGACACCAGGGGAAATTCGGCTATGGGTGGAATGAAGGTGAACAGCTGCATATTTGTGGCATGTAATCATCCCTACATGCCGGCTCAACCTTGTCCAATTCTATTTCATGGTCCTGTGCAGATGACTTTTACACCAAACTCTTCAGGGATCACTCTGAGAAACCCGGTAGAAGGCGTTCCGGCTGCTGCTGGCCTGGCAAAGGAATCAAGGTTCACGCTGGGGGAATATATGCTACTGGGCCCCTTGTGAGTCTCAACTGACGAGGATAAAGCATGTGGGGAGAGGGGGGCAGGGCTATCCTGTGTCACAAAGCATCACCCCAGGTATGAGAGGTCAAGATTGAGGGGCATCTGACAAGGGAGAAGATCCACCCAGAGGGCACCCCACCATACCCTCAGGAAGACAAGGCTGCATAAGCCCAGTGTTCCTTCAAGGACTGAGGCCCTTGGAGAGCAAATGGAACAAAGTAGTCAGCAGATATGGGTGGGAGGCAGAGCACATCTGTGGGCTGTGGGAAGGGGTCCTGGTGTCAGTCCATGGCTGAAGGATTGCCTGGGAGACACAGGAACCTGCCCAAAGCACAAGGCCCAGAGATGTTCTGCTTGTCCCTACACAGCCATGCAGCTCAGAGATCTCCTGAAACCTGGCACTGCTCAGAGATACAGTCAAACAGCAGGCCTTCACTCCCGTACCAGCCTGTTCTCTGCTGGGTACCTGCACCATGAGGATCTGCTCTGCTCATAGCAACCCCAGAGTGGGCCAGGCCACCTGACCTTGGATTTGAGGCCCAAGGAAGAACTGCAGCATTCAATGAAGACTTCCTCTAGAGACTGTGGAGCCACAAGCCAAGGGGAAAATAATAGGTACCCTCCCCAAGGCCTTTCTTGGGCCCTAAGAACCTCCATGGCCACCTTGGCAACCCGTGGCCTGGTGGTGTTGGGCCATGACACTTCGATGCTCAACACAGGCCCCAGATCCTAGCAATGAGGGATATGGAAACTTACAAAGGCAACGTTTGAAGAGGATTCTGTAAGTCCCCAGAAAGGATGTTAGTGTCCCTGGCCATCAGTGTAAATCCCTTCCCACAAGTCTGCAGAGCTACCCTCATCCTCAGATGTGCACCCCAGCTGGTATCTGCAACCCATCGCTAAGAGCATCTGGCAGCTGAGACCTCCTGCTACTTGGGAGGCCATGAATGGTGGGCAGGGACCCCTGTCACCTACCTGCTTATCTTGAAGATCTGAAGAGAGCTCATAGCTCTCAGAGAGTGACCGAGAGCGCTTGATGGCCTCCTCCTCGGCCTGCTTGCGCAGGACGGAGGTCGAGTGCTGTAGCCGGGGCCTTCGTGTGCGCTGCTGTGGTCCTGGCCCTGCGTACAGCCCATAGGCACCCACTGATGTGTGCTCGTAGTGGTCTGGGCTCAGACTGGAACCAGGTACCAGGGGACCCTGGTGGTAGGCCGAGGGGCTGTCCAGCGACGTGCCAGTCTCGCTGCTGGGGGCCTCACCTTCAACACTGCAGAGGAGAGAGAGGAGAGACACACGCTAAACAGAGAAGCAGAACTTGGGGAGCAGGGCAAGGAAGAGTGCCCCTGGATAGTCGGGAACCCGCAGAGCCCTCCGCTCTGCATCTTCCTGGAGCTTCTGAACAACTTCCATGTTCTGACATCTGGCATACTGTACTGGGAAGCTGGCTTCTCAACCAAGTGTTAGCCTCCAAAGACAGGTTTGACCTACTGTGGTGCTGATGGCCCCAGCACTTAGAACAGAGCCTGGCCTTGCTAGGTACTCACTGTATTTTGAAAAAATAAGATAACTACCTCTCCTGCTACCTGAATTAAATGTAGGGCTGGTACCCCCAAATCCCCATGACTATGTTTGGAGACAGGATCTTTTAAAATTAATTTCTCTTTATTTTATATTTATACGTGTTTTGTCTGACTGTATATATGCATCTGTGTTTGCAGGGGTCAGAAGAATATACATCTCCTGGAACTAGAGTTACAGACAGTTGTGAGCCACCATGTGGGGTGCTAGGAACTGAACCCAGGTCTTCTGTAACAGCAAGGGCTTTTAACTGCTGAGCCATCTCTCTAGCTCCCTGGAGATGGGCTCATCAGCATGAAAGACATAAGGGTGGGTCCTAGGATAACTGAACTGGTATCCTTCTAATAAGGGGATGCAGGATACAACACGTATGGGGGAAGACAATGTGAACACATGGGCAGAAGGCGGCACACCAAGGAGAGAGGCTCAGGAGAAGACAGCCAGGCCACACCTCCACCGCAGACTGGCAGCCTCCCGAGCCTGCAGATAATGAAGGCCTGTGGGTGAGGTCCACCTCTGGCATCTGTCACGGCAGGCTCAGAAGCAAGCACGACATTGCACAAGTGTTTTAAATTTTAACACTCCCTGTAAAGAGGGCCCATAGCTCCCTGTACAGGTAAGGAAAGGGAGGCCGGTGTAAACACTGTCCCGGGCGCCATAGACAGTAAGTAGTAAACACTGTCCCGGGCGCCATAGACAGTAAGTAGTAAACACTGTCCCGGGCGCCATAGACAGTAAGTAGTAAACACTGTCCCGGGCGCCATAGACAGTTAGTAGGTCCCCTTCCACCTCTCTGCCTTTTGCTCCAGAGTACCTTCATGCCAAGCAGGAGCAAGGCCAGCCAGTGGGGACAGAGGGACTGGCTGCTGACTCATCCCAGCCCTGGGCCTGGAACATTCTATTCTGCACAGACACTCGTTTCCTCTGCCGTCTCTTTTCAGTGAGGGATGGGGAGAAAAAGGAGACACTGACTTGAAGAGTCTCTAACAGAAGTCCTCATCCTTTGCCAGGCTCCCAGTCCCTGTGCAACCAGACACTTGGGCACTGGCAGGAACTTTAAAAGGCCTGTCTTCCCTGGGGCATGGGGGGGAGTCTCTAGAATGGGCAGAGAGAGAGAAGAGCAAGGGCCCCACCCAGGCTGCAGTCCTTTCCAAAATGTCCCCTCTTCAGACCAATGAGGAATGTCCTGCACTAAGCAGCCTGGCAGACAGGCTGCCCCGCCCAGCTCTGCCAGAGTCCTGGTGTTTGTTCTCCAGGGGGTCCCCAGGGTGGGGCCTGTGGAAGGGAGGCTGAAGCAGGGAGGGCCAAGGCTGCCTCCCCTTGGACTCTGATCACTCTGCACCAGGGACAGCAGCAAATCTCAGCGCCTGACTCTGGCCTATGGCTTAGAAACAGGGCTTCTGAGACAGCAACTACTTCTGGCCCCCAGGGAAGGCACTGGAGCCTCCCAACATGCCCCGGTGGCTAAAGATGACAGCCATTCCTTGAGGAGGGCCTGGATGAAGAGTTGGGAGACACATGCGTTGCCTGGCTCTGTCTATAGTTCCTTTCAGTTGTATTAGTAACTTAATGCAAAAAATGCAACCCTTCAAGGCACTCTGGGTACCACAGAGCCTCCTGACCCCTTGTTGCCTTTGTACTCAGTGTCCTTTGGGCACAGTGTAGGGGATGGGGTGGGGAGGGAATGCTAGATCTGAAAATTCTCCTATTGTTTGCTGGAACTTGGACAACACTTTTCATTATATTCTCAGAACTCTGACCAACTGTCACAAGAAAGAGAGAATGAGTACCGTTAGAATTGGGCCACCTGGGGTAGGAAACAGCAGCCTCCACTGGGAAAGCTCACCCATGCTCTCTGATCCCAAGACTGGGCCCCACTTCAGTCAAGTGGGTCAGCACACACAGGGACGAATGTATGTCCCTCAACTGAATGCATGTTCTGGCTAGGGGCTGGATCTGTGTGTAAAGAACTGGAGGAAATATACCCTGTGACTTCTGTGGGATATTTCAAACCAGCTGAACCTCGAATCAGAAGGTGGAGAAGACAGCAGTCACCATCATCCCTGGAGCAGAGCCTGAAGCTCCTTGGTGGTTGACAGACTGCATCAGAACCACAAGGGGCTCAGTCACGGAAGAGTGGGCTATGCCTGGTCATGGGGCTGTCCCTGGCCCTCAAGCCCATGGTGGAGGAGCAGTGGTAGGAGGGATTCAGTTTTTTCTTGTCTGGCCTGAGAACATTGTTTCTTGGCCATGGGGAGAGAGCAGGGCCTAGGCTGCCTGCAAGTCTGGGAGATCCAGCCTACCCAGTAGCCTTCAGTTTGTGGCAGAGGTGCTAAGGACAGAGATTTTTCCCAGCTAGCTTTGCCTCCGTGGATGAAACATCAAAGTGGGTGTCTGTCCTGGAGAGGGTAACTTTGGGATGGGACTAGGATGAAAGAGGTCAGGGATAGACAGGAGCTTTCTGGAGCTGTGTTACTGCTCTGGGCAGTTTTGGGTCAATAGGTTTCCAGAATATGCTTGGGAGAGAGGGCCAGGTCTCTCCAGAGCTTCCCCTCTGAGACGGGAGGGGATGAGGTAATCAAAAGGCAGCTCCAGAGCCAACCCAGACTCACTCAGCTGGGGTCATCTGCTAAGTCTGTATGAATGGAGCTGTATGGTAGAACAGGCTTTCCACAGCCCAGAAAACACACCCAGGATCAGAGAGATGGCTCAGCTCTCTGCCAAAGCTGACAGCCTGAATTCCATCCCCAGGACCTATACAGTGGGAAGAGACCCTACTCTAAGTTGTCCTCTGATCTCCATACACACTCTGAGGTAAACACACACACACACACACAACACACACACACACACACACACACACACACACACACAAATAAAATAAATGTAATTGGAAAGAAAAGAAGAGCCTAGATCCTGCTCTAACTACAAGAAAAAGAACGAACAACTTCACAGGCTCTGCTGCAGATGTGAGGACAAAGCCAGCACCCAGGGCCTTCCACGTGCCTCAAGGACCTGTTGTAACAACACAAATCCAAAGCCACACAGTGTCAGACACCAACAGAGGCTTTTCTTTATCGGAGCATTTATGATTTGAACAGGGCAAACACAATCCTTTGAAGCCCATGTTGCCAAGCCAATGAGCAAAGACACTCTTATACCCATTGCTAGGGCAGGCATGAACAGGGCTGCACCATTCTACTCTGGTGGACACCTGGACATCCAGGGAGGAACCCAGGGTGACTTCTCTGTGCATCCCCCCAGAGCTTCTTCATAAGGTTGATTCTATTCCACCACATGTTGAAAAAGAGCCGACAGCGTCCTGAGATATAGCAGTTTGCACTCAGATTTTTCTACTGTGCAGTGACTTTGTGGGAGAGCCAACAAATCAACTTACAATACTTTCACTTAGGACATATTTCCCAGGATATTGCCGTGTTGTAAGTGGAGGGGTGTTCTGTATGTTAGTCCCCATCCAGGACTCAAGGGTGGCCATAGTCAGTCACATCAGGCCCTACATCCTGACCTGGCACCTCTTCCAGCCTCCTGAGCCCTGGTTCTATGTCCCACCCTCCCTCCAACCCAGGTTCAGCTCTCCAGAGAAGCTTCCCCCTAAATCCAGGTCTGCCGGGTTGAACACCCCAGAGTATGCAATTCTTCTAGGCACATGCTAAGCCAAGAAGACCGACACACAAAGGGGCAGATATGAGGATTTTCATAGCACTGTGGTCTCTATGCAAGACTAGAAATAAATGTAGATGCCCGTCTAAAAGGGAGTGACTGCAGTTACCTTTATGCCCACACAGGGAAGTAACAGCAAGATGCGGGAGATCTGACCTGACAGCTGTTCTTGTGAGGAGACCTGGAGATGTTTCAGCTGACTATAAGATTGATGTGAGCTGATGCCGTCACACAGCTGAGGAGGCCCGGCGCCATGCTGGACAGAAAGCCAGGAGCAAAAATAGCCTTGGTGCAGCTGTCAGATCATGGCAGACACCTCTGCATCCTGGAACTAGGCTAGAGGTGGCAGACCTTCCCTCTTTCCCTCACCAGCCCCTGCAGACATTACTAATCTATCACTGACTTCCTCCTGCTGATCTTGGGTGGAACCACAGCAGGGTTCCACACAGATTCCCTACCTTTTGATAATAACTGGCATAGGAGACAGACCCTGTGGGTCAGACCCAAATTACTGAAAGCTGGGTCAGGTGAGCTAACTAAGCCAGAAGCAGCCCCTCTTGGGGCAGATGATCCCTTGTCTCAATCCTAAAGGATGGTAAATTGAGGCTGGAATAGATTTCCTCAAAGGTGGAAGAGAATACTATGTCCCATGTAGTTCCATTATGAGAAAGGAGGTGGTGAGCACTCCCCCTCTGAAGATATGTAAGCTGCATGTGTCATTCCCAGGAGTAAGAAATACTGTTTGCCTGACCGGAAGCCTTGCTAGCCCCACAGGGCTAGTCTCAATCTGTAGCCTTTAGTTACATCGCAGGGTCTCCGAGGGCTATGTTCTCATCTGTCTCAGTCCCAGTCTTTTGGAGGCCCCTGCCACTTCCTACCTGTACAGCAGCAGGGGTATGTACATGAGTGCTCCTTCAGTAGATGGGGGATGAGTTCCCTATGTTCAAGACATCCTGGTGGTTGGGCAGGACTTGTGCCCCCCATGAAGAGGTGCACACTCTGTCCCAGGGCTCCCTTCCTACCTGGGGACTCCAGGCTGACTCAGAAGGCCAGCTTTCCATCCTCTCCAGTCTCAAATGTTCCTGCCCCACAAGAGATGGTCAGTTTTTTTTTTCCAGACCAAGTGAGACAGAGATCACTCAAGGAACCCTAGAGCCCCTGCTGCCCTAGCGCACCCGCTGGGCACAGGGAGTCTCTGCTCACTGCCTTTCTGCTTGCATACTGCTTACAAGAGAAGGGATACTGGAGTCTCGGGTTCCATCCCAGTGCACTGAGAATAGAGTGGCTGTTGGCATAGCAGAGTTGGCACAGTGCCATCCTGCACAGGGAAGGTTCCACCCACGGAGGAAACACATTTTCTGTAAAGGCTGGTTACTCTGGCTGGAGGTGGGAGGGGCCCAGCTGCCCAGGT